GCCAACATGGTGAAACCCTGTCTCTACTAAAAATACAAAAAAATAGCCAGGCATGGTGGCAGGCACCTGTAATCCCAGCTACTCAGGAGGCTGAGGCAGAGGAGCTGCTTGAACCCGGAAGGCGGAGGTTGCAATGGGCCGAGACCGCGTCACTGCCCTCCGGCAGCTGGCCAGCACCCAGGAGGGACAGCACTCAGATCTCAGAGCCCAGAGTTCTTAGCTTGAGGCTCTGTCACAGCCACGGGGGACTTTGCAATGACAGCTGTTTGCCACTGCTTTTGTGGAAGGTGAGCAGTACCAAGGCCCTGTCTGCATGGGCCGGAGGTACTTCCTCAGAAGGAAGTGTGGGAGAAAAGTGAGGATTTCTTTTCTTATTCAACTTCCTTTTAAAGAGTTTCTGTACACCTGCTGGGCCCTAGGCTGAGTGCTGGGGGCCCAAAGACGGGTAAGACTCAGTCCTTGCCTTGGGAGGCAAGGAGGACCAGGAGTGAGTGCTTCCAGCTTCACAGACGACCTGGCTTAAACTCAGAGCAGCCACTTCTCAGCTGTGTGACCTTGGGCAAGTCCCTTCACCTTTTTGGCCCTCAGTTTCTTCTGTTAAATGAGAGTGAGGAGGAGGAACAGGACTCCTAGGATTGATGTGGCTCTAAGAGTTGCTTCCAGGGGGGGCACGGTGGGTGGCTCACGCCTATAATCCCAGCACTTGGGGGGGGCTGAGGCCGGTGGATCACCTGAGGTCAGGAGTTTGAGACCAGCCTGGCCAACATAATAAGACCCTATCTCTACTAAAAATACAAAAATTAGCCGGGTGTGGTGGCAGACGCCTGTAATCCCAGCTACTCGGGAGGCCGAGGCAGGAGAATCACTTGAACCCAGGTAGGGAGGTTGCGGTGAGCCGAGATCGCGCCACTGCACTCCAGCCCGGGCGACAAGAGGGAGACTTCGTCTCAAAAAAAAAAAAAAGAGTTGTTTCCTCCAAGAGTGTGGGTTGGTGCCCAGCAAGGACAGCTGATTCTCGTCAGTTGCAGCAGGTGTGCTACGAAGTCACGAAGTTTCCGGAATGCTGAGCTGTCCCTGCTCCTAGGGAAACACAGGCTCAGGTTCCAGCTCCCAGCGGCACCCCCACCCGGTCACATTCTCATCAGCCCATCCGTACAGAACCTTGTTCTGTGCATGCGTATCTTTGTAATTTATTATTCTTTTTTTTTTTTTTTTTTTT